TAGGAGATCATCAATATAGAGTGCAAGAATCCTGCCATTGACATGCATATAGATACAGGAGTCAAACCGCTCAGATTGAAATCCTAGCCTCGAGACTAAGTATTCATCGATTGTTGTATACCAGCATCGGGGCGACTGCTTTAGCCTCTACAGGCTCCAATTCAGGCACACTAGTTGTGGGCCACTCATAACTCCCATTAGTAGTTAAACATCAACCTCCTTCTTGATCTGACTTCTAAGAAAGTCTGTAACGACGTCCATTTGATATACGAGATATCATTATGCTCCAGCAAAAGTGAGTACGATCAGTACACTTGACATGCTTACTACCGGAGTAAATATTTCCATGAAGTCCAAACCTTCGACCTGCCAGAATCCTTGTGCCATGAGTCTGGCCTTGTACTGCACCGTTTCATCCTCAGCACTGAGCTTTTTCAGCAGAATTAGCTTCGTGGGTATAGGTTTCTTCCCTGCTGGCAGAATCCCTCTGTCGATAAACATAAGAATCTTGTTTTTCATCACTGAGGCACATTCCGAATCAACTGCGTTTTGCCAGTATGCCGCCTCAGCAGTTTCCATTGCCATTTTGTAGTTCGCGTGTCCTGCCTCAACTATGTAGACTGCCGACACCATTACGTCCACAGTAGTTACAGAGGCTTGAGCCTGCCCCTGACTCCATGTTCATCTGCTCTAAATCGCTGGTAGAGTCCCAGTCTCTGAACCCTAAAAGGTATTATCCCTATCAGCTTGTAGCTCCTGTACCATCTTGGAAACCTTCATCATCATTGCTGCAGGTTGGCAAGAGGTCTCTTGTTCTTCCTCATCTTCGTTGTCATCCTTTTTCTTTGTTCCATCTCTGTCATCATCCTTCCTACCACCTTCTTCAGGTCCTTGATCATCCTCATCATCAAACTCATCATTCCATATTATGTACTTCTCCCAGAACTCCATATTAAGTGCGTAGTAATATTATAGAGGTTTACCGCCATTGTCGGACATCGAATAGTATGAGATGGCTTCTTGGAAGACAATGTCAAGTGAGATCTAGAACATCTTCTTCACAGGATGGTAAAGCCTATACTGCTTTGTAGTGCCCATGTATCTGACGAACATGCAGCCTCGAGCTGTTTTGTCCATTTTCTTTCGAGTTTCAAGGAGAACTTGTACAAAAGCTACACATCTCTAGATCCAAAGGTATTAGTATGTTGGCCTCACCCCGTATTTATCACTCATACAGCATCTGTCCATTTGGTAGAGCTTTAGTCAGGAGTCGATTCTTGGTGTAAATCACAGCCATTACCACCTCGCCCCAGTACTCTTTCAGTACACTCATGGTATAAAGCACAGCATGGGTAGTACCTATCACTGTTCTGTTTGGTCGTTCATTCGACCCATTCGACCATGGAATATATGGAGTAGTTCTCTGCGCCTCAATCCCGTCCTGTTATAAGAGATTGCAGAACTCATTCAAGGTGTACTCTCCTCCTCCATCCATTCTCAACTTCTTGATGAATTTCCCATGATGTTTCTCCACTAGTTCCTTGTATTTTCTGAAACAGCATAGGGCTTCAGACTTTCGCTTAATGAGGTAACCCATCTTGTAGTGTGTAAAGCCATCCATAAACATCAGCAAATAAACAGCTCCTCTAAGTGACGTAGATGTAACAGATCCAGTTATGTCGCTGTGAACCAGTTCCAATGGTTAGTATGCACACGCACTGTCAGGCAATGGTGGGAAAGGCTTCTGAACCAATTTTCCGTAAACACAACCACTACAGATATATCGTGCTACCAGGGGTAAGCAGGGAATTCCATTCTCTTCCATAGATAGTTTCCGAACAGCATCCGGCTCTAAGTAAGCCAATCGGAAGTCCCAGAGCGCAGTTTGATGCTCTGCTGACATCCCATCATCGACTACGTTTGTCTGTGTTACAACTGATTTCTCTTGCTTTACACTCCGGTTTGCCTCAAGGACGTAAAGCCCATCGATCTCCTCTGACTAACCATAAATCCATCTCGCTACTTCAGTATAGCTTTCCTCTTCTGTTCAAAGTTGACGTGCTAGCCTGACTTACGAAGCTGGTACTCAGAAAGCAGACTGTTTCTATCACATTC